AAAAAAACAGGAAGAGTTCTCGAAGGGTAGCGAATGTCATCATTATCTTTGCAGCAACACTGTATGATATTGTCTGGTATCACGTTGTCAGGCTCTGTTTTTTCTCCTTGGTGTAGAGCCATATTTACTAGTGTTACCAGTTCCTCTTTATACTGTATGATGGAATACAACCAAAGGACTTTCATAAACTGCATGTCCTTGGGAAGTAAAAGCAGGTTATTTCCAAATACCACATTTACTTAGACAGTTCCCTCCCTTGTCTTCCTTTTCGCAATACTTTTGCTTAAAAAAAAAAAAAAAAAAAAAAAAGAATGGAAAACATAAAAGCACCTGGGATCATCATAGTGATTGCTATGTTTTACTCATTTTCTATTTTTTATTTTCAGTAATTACTACTTGTTTTAAATATTTTATGATAATGCAGGATGTAAAGACATAAAATAAGTTGATATAGTAGCTATAGAAACATTAAAATAAATAGCTAGATATGAGTAAATTCTAAAGTTCGTTAATAAAATAAAAATAACTGGAATATTGAAGTTCTAGGAATGTACGATTTAGCATAAACATCAAAGATTATGTTGTGGAATCTGGAAATTGCTAACATTTATGGAGTTTCTTCTTAAGGCAATGAAAATGTTCTAAAACTGGTGAAGGTTTCACTAGTCTTTGAAGAAACTATAAACTATTGTACTATTGTGGGTTATTTATGTGGGCATTTTTATGGTAAATGAATCTCTCAATAAATTTATTTTTTTAAAAAAGAGGCCCAATCTTTATCTCTTCTCCACTCCCATTGCCTCACTTGACTAGCCTTAAAAAAAAAAATAGGTCCAAGAGATACGTTAGAAAAAAAAAGCGGAACTGAACAAAAAAGCGGTTGAATACCACCATAGCCCAAAGAATGAGGGAGAAAGAAGGTAGGAGGAGGGGAAAAGCTGCATTGCCGACTAGTTCTCTCCCCTCCTCCACTGTAGGTCTCACACACACATACACACACATATACATCACATTCTGTACTAACCAGAGACAAGTCTCTGGTTGTTTTATTTTAATGTCATGGGTAAAACCATGACTGTTTTTTGTTTTGTTTTGTTTTGAAGAGGGAGTCTCACTCTGTTGCCCAGGCTGGAGTGCAGTGGCAGGATCTCAGCTCACTGCAACCTCCACCTCCCAGGTTCAAGCGATTTTCCTGTCTCAGCCTCCGGAGTAGCTGGGACTACAGGCACCAGCCACCACGCCTGGCTAATTTTTTGTATTTTTAGTAGAGATGGGGTTTCACGGTGTTAGCCAGGATGGTCTCGATCTCCTGACCTCGTGATCCGCCTGCCTTGGCCTCCCAAAGTGCTGGGATTACAGGCATGAGCCACCGTGCCTGGCCCATGACTGTTTTATTTCTTGTGCACTTGATAGTTCCTCTTATTCTTGCAAATGTTGACCATGCTTGCTCAGTGGCAGGTACTCTGTGCCAAATATTTGGTCTTTGCTTTTTGATTTTAAAAAGCACATTTTCAATAACTAGTATACAGTCTATGTCACATCTCTTTATCTTTTATATGTATAAAGTCATGCTGTATTATCTGTAAAGTCATATTCATTTCGTTCTAAGAAATGTCTTCTTCTAGATCCTTCTCAATGGATGTATTCTAATTTGTCTTGTCCAGTAAATATTGTTTTAGTTACTCTTTATGCATTTAAATATTGATCTCTTTGAAGTCCACACTCTTGAGGTCCTCTCTTGGCTTTCTTTTTTATGGAGTCATAAACAGTAGCAACTTTAATATCAATGAAAAGATGTTCTATCTCTATACTTCTATATGGATTCTGGAGAATAAATTTCATTATCTACTTGTAGCTGCATTTTATTAACTGACGAAAATTTGCTATTTCAAAGTCTTAGATTCATTTGCCAAATATTTTCAGGCCTTATTGCTTAGTTTATTATATCGTGAGAAAAGGAGTAAGAGTCAGGAGTTACCAGTTAGGAAGTCTGAATTGACAAGAAGACTGTTCTGTTGGAAAAGTAAAACATTGTTGTTTCCTTGGGGCTGGGGGGCGGGGACGGGGAAGGGGAAGGGGACAGGGAAGGGGAAGCTACTTCCTCTTTCTTTGTGACTGTGTCTTCACTTTTCTCTTTAGCCTAGACCCCAAAAAGACACTCTCAGTATCACATTGAGGCTTATCGGCACCATTCCCTGCACTTGTAGATTCATAAATATTCTCCGAAGCAGACTGTTCGTTGGAAGGTATCAGTTTAGCGCTATCTTTCGCTGCAAATTTGGTGTTACAAGGAATAGCAACCACTGCTCTTCTTTTTGTACTAGATTTTAAAGTAGAGTCTAAAGGCAAGGCATTCAAAGGGATTATTTTCTTTTCCTTTGTAAGAGAGTGACATGAGGTTATCGAATAATCCTCTAAACTTTCCAGTAAAGTTTCAGATACATGAGTTGGGTATTCTCCTGGGGAGACACCGGAAGGGCTCCATGATACACCAATCTGAGTTTCTTTTGGGGGGCAGACCTTCGTTTCAAGTGTCCCTTTTGGCTGGCCAATCTTGTCTTCATGAGGATTGAGAAAATCTTGAAATCCATACCTCTTTTGATGACTAAGTGAAGTTGTTAAAAGAGAACTTGCCAGTAGCTTCTGGCTGGCAGGGTCTTCTGTGTTAGGCTTAGAGGAACTTTTCGCAAAAGGGGTCTCCGGCACTTCAAAGAGGTCTTCACTAAAAGATGGAACTGGAAACTCTGAACTTTGTTGCAGTTCCTTTGTGCTCGTAGGTTTCATCTGTTTACTTTGTGACTGGCTTATTGATTTGATAGGCACATGCCTCTGCTTTCCTTGTGCAGGCTCCCTGACTGAAACATCTGACATAGTCATTTGACTACCAGAAACGAAGTCATCACTACCATAAGTCTGAAACTGTTGTTGCTTCATTATTATTTTAGAAAGCCTTTTATTTTCTTCTCGTAATTTATTTGTTTCTTTAGTGAGTTCCGCAATAAAGAAAAGATTTTGTTGTTGGATTTCAGAATAGTCTTTCTCTAGCGCAAGCCTGTATGTTTCTTTCATTGAACAGTTGTCACAGGTTTTTGCCTTTAACTGATCTTTCAAGTCATTAATGGTGCTCTGCAGGACTCTCTGCTGTTCAGTCAACTCTTTAATTTTGACTGTGGAGCCCGTCCACCTCCCATCTGACAATCGCTGTTTCCTCAGACTTGTTAATTTTGCCTGTAGACGCCTCAGCTCTTTATCATGGAGCTCTTTCAGCGTCAGCCATGTTTTTTTAAAATTGTCAGATTCCAAATCACATACACTAAGCTGTGATGACTCTCTTCCTGAAGATTTCTTACAACCTCTCCTCCCTCCTTCACCCGCGTTCCCTGCCTGCATCATGTTTCACAGATTTGGAAATGGGAGGGATGGCCTTGTCGCTCGATAACAGTGCCGTTAAGAAAATGGCGGACTTGCCGTGGATTGGAGCTAGTTCGCTGTGAGGGCGAGCCCTTCTACCCCTTTCACAGACCTTCTCCGAAGCTACCTTAGGACACGGGGCGAGGGAGATGGGTGCTCACGATTGGATGGAAAGTCCCAGGTTTTCGCTGGAAAGGAGGCACCAACTTTTCGGCTGGAAGAGCTAACGCACAGGAGAGGGAGGCCACCACCCTCAGGCAGAGGCGCAACAAGCTGCCCTTTGACCGGAGGCCGGAAACGCAGGGACTTCTGGGGGGAACCCAAGCTTCTGTGAGTAGACACCCAATGGCAGATAGGTGAGAGCGGAAGTCACTGCTAGCTTAATATACTTTTTTTAATTTTATTTTTTCTTTAGATGGAGTCACGCTCTGTTGAGCCCAGGCTGGAGTGCAGTGGCGCGATCTCAGCTCACTGCAACCTCCGCCTCCTGGGTTCAAGCGATTCTCCTGCCTCAGCCTCCTGAGTAACTGGGATTACAGGTGCATGCCACCGCGCCCAGCTAATTCTTGTATTTTTAGTAGAGACTGGGTTTCACCATGTTGGCCAGGCTGGTCTCGAACTTCTGACTTCAGGTGATCCACCCGCCTTGGCCTCCCAAAGCGGTGGGATTACAGGCGTGAGCCACTGCGCCCAGCCCTAACTGTTTCTAAAATAGACATTTAATGAGTCTTCATTTTTAGGCTCATCTTTAACCTTACTTCAGGTGGTACCTGGAGGCTTTTAGGGGATTCTTGGGTTACTACTTTGTTACCACTTGTTTTTTCCTGCAGCTGACAGTATTCAACATTCTCAACATTCTCAGTTCTTCTCAGTAATCACCGATATCTAGCTTCCAAAATCTGTTGCTCTATCTCCTCACAGGTTCTCTTTGTTTTTATTCATTTATGTCTATTTACAAATTCCTCCACCAGCATGTTAGTGGATTCTAGAGGGGAAATATTCATTGATTTCTGCCACCTTTTTGTTGTCGTTATTTTAAATTTTACATAGGGAAATACATTTGACTCTCAAACAGGGCAACAAAACCCCTGGAGAGTGACACATTGACCCCCTTTAAGTGACACTTTGGTCCAGTTTGAGTCAGGTGTTCCCCTCTACCAATTAATTTTGGCAAGAGGAGTACAGCACCATGATTGTATGTGGGAATAGGCCCCTGTCCCAAGAGGGACCGATAGTGTGGCAGGGACAGTGGAGACACATTACACACATGGTGGCTCACACAGTCACAGAGATGGAGAAGGACAATCCCTAGAAAAGGGACCCTACGCAGCTCCTGGTGGGAGCTGATGTTCACAGGAAACCTGATGCTCGCTGCACCTGGATGGGACGAGGGAGCTGACAGGGCCTCTCTATCTGTGACTGTAGGTATGATATAATCCTCTTTGGAAATAACCTCACGAGTCTAAATTTGAGACCTGTTGTGAAAGTGAGGCCCAGACCCCACTGCCCTCCTGCCCGCCACCCTATGCGCCTCCGTGCTAGGGCCAGGATGGGAGCCATTTGGGACCTGGGAAGAAACATGGCCTGCTTGAGAACCTGGCCAAAATGACCCTCTTCTGGAATTTATTTTGGCTACATGAATAAACAGATGTTTCCAAACGTCTTATCCTCAGTCTTCTGCTCTTTTCTCTCTACGCAGATTCTGCTCTTTTCTCTCTACGCAGATTCAGCGATTACATCTCTATGGGTATCTGTAAACCCCCACGACCTCTCCCTCACCTTCAGTCCCACACTTCCACCCGCCTGAGGAACTCTTCCACTCTGTTGTCTCACCCACGTTGGCCCCAGGGTTTAATGCTCCAAATTGACCTCATCATTCTTGCACCTCCCAGGCTTGAAACCTAGGAATTATTTTCAACTCCTACCTCTCCCTTGGCACAGGTACCCAATTAGTCACCATTTTAATCATCCGCTGCTGGTAATGACTGTGACATTTATCCTATTGTATCTGGCAGTGAGAGGGCTGTGGCTGTCAAGTTGACACACAAATCAGGCAGAATAAAACCCCACCCAGAAAAGGCTGGCGTCAGCATGGAACTCTGTTGGAAACATCAAAAACCGTCTGTGGGCTGGGTGCAGTGGCTCATGCCTGTAATCCTAGCACTTTGGGAAGCCAAGGCAGGAGAGTCACTTGAGCCAAGGAGCTCAAGACCAGCCTGAGCAACATAGTGAGACCCCATTTCTTTTATTTATTTATTTAAAAACATTTTTTTAATTTTGTTTTT